AGGGTTTCATTGCCTTGAAGAAAGTATTGCAAATCCCAGGTATTGAAGCTCCTTCAGACGCCGCTGGACGCGCCTCTGTCTGCCAACCAGCAGGCAAGTTGCCATTCTTTGGCAGAGTCTTGAGTCTCCTGAGATTGATGACGTCTGTTCGTGGCCTCGCTGATAAGTTCAGGGACAGTAGCGAATGGTGATGCCTGCTGCCAATCCGTGGATGCTCAGTTCAGCCTCTCCAGAAGATCATTGTTCATTTCGCTCAAGTACTAGGAACTGGGATTGTCGCTCGCTCATACATGTCTCCAAGCTGACACCTGTTTTCCATCAAGTCAACATCACCTTGCATGCGTCAATGCTACAAGTACAAAGGACCCAGTGTTGCCAGCTTGCCTACTGCCCGTCCTGTAGTAGTATTATGGTCATTCTTGTTGTGTTGTTCTGTTAAAGTTTAAGTCCTCCCTCCATCCGAGACCGAAAACCCTAAACTGCCTACCTGCGTGACTATTGTTCGTTACAGGGATTTATTCAGAACGCCTTAAACGTGAACTTCCCTAAACCCTCAGCCTTGCACCCTTAACCTGGAACCCTCAAAAGAATCCTGCATCCTAAATCCTAATCCTGTGGCAATGATTTAGTTCCTAGACACTAAGCTCTAAACCCTATTCCTTGAAATAGTAGTGTCCATTTACATCGCATTATCCCAATATAATCCCAATATGTACCCTCATATCATCCCAATAGGACCCCAATATAACCCTAAACCCCCTAAACCCTAAACCCCTAAACCCTAAACCCCTAAACCCTAAACCCTAAACCCTAAATCCTACACCAGGATGCGCTTCTGCGGTTGTCTCTGGGAACGACCTACGAGCCGACAGCGGCTCAGGGGCTCAGGGTTTAGGGTTTTTAGGGGTTTAGGGTTTTAAGGGTATAGGGTTTAAGGGTTTAGGGTTTTTAGGGGTTTAGGGTTTAGGGTTTAAGGGTTTAGGGTTTAGGGTTTTAGGGTTCAGGGGTTCAGGGTTTAAGGGTCTAGAAGTTTAGGGTTTAGGGTTTTCTTTTCAGGACGTGTCCTGCAACTGAGGGCAGCTATGGTCACCGCAAAGGCTGCAGAAGGCTTGCAGGCCAGATGTTTTTGTGTTTAAATTGCTAAATGTATAGTATAGTATAGTATAGTATAGTGTAGTATAGTATAGTATAGTATAGTCTACTATCCTATATTGTAATGTATTATGTTGTAGTGTAGTATTTCAGTATATATTACAGTGCGTTATAGTAGAATATTGTATTACATAATATACTATAGCATAGCAGCATAGCTGCGGTAGGAGTTTGTGCCAAAATGTCCTTTGACATTCAGGGCATATGATTTTCTTGAAATAGGGTCATGTACAGATTCGCAGAGCAGTTTGCTTTGTGTGGTCTCCAGTTTCTCGGGGTTTCTTAGAAAAATCCTCATGGTTTCTTGTCCCAAGGTGCAACCTCCATCTTAAGATGAGTTCTCCAGATGTCAGAGGATGCGACGCTTGCATTCCTGCAACGTGGTAACCCATTGACTGCCACACCTGACTTGCCACAAAGCGCTCTCCGCCACCAGATTTCAAGTCGAAAATTGTCTGGAGTAGATTAGAAAGAATCGTAGACTGCCCCAAACCTCATGGACTCCAAGTACAGTTTTTTGGGAATTTTTGTGTACATTAGCAATTTGAGGAGCGGTTAGTTTAACGCGTTGCCACCTGCTGCCACAGAAGGTGGCCCGTGCTGCGGGCGGTGCCGTTGCCTGTGCCTGAGTGAGCACAGATTAAGGAGTAATTCATGTTCGCGAATGTTCTTAATGGGATTCTTCGGCTGCCGGCAGTCAAGGTAACAACATGCCTTGTACTTGCAGCTGAACTCTGCTAACTGTGCTTCTGAAAGTTGTGCGGCTCAAGGAGGTTCAAGCCTGTACCGCAACCCTGTGTCCGTTGTGGACCTCATGTCGTACCTGCTAGCCTTTCTCTTGGTGCTGCCTGCAGCGAAGGGACAGCACCTCAGGGGCCCGGCACCTCGTTCAGAGGCCGGCTTGCAAGGCAGCAAGGAACCGAGGCCATGCCCGGTGTCCCAAAAAATCCATGAGCTCCGTAGCTACCTTCACGGCAGCTCAGCTGGAACATCATATGAAATCATGTGAGACTCGAAACGCGATGCGTAATCGATCCCAGTGGAAGGCTAGAATAATCTGTTCTTTCAGTGTGCCTCCTGCATGCTGTTGCATGCTGGCGAATCCAGTCTTGAATGAGAGGGCAGTCTAAGCTATGTCCCTTGGTCTGAGGGCGTGCAGACGAGCGACATTGTCCTAGCTTGAGTGAGCAGAGATTGGCTTGCGTACGTCTTAGCAATAAAATTGATGCAACGCCTGGCTAAGGCTAGATTTGGTTCTTGTCAGTGATGTATTGGTGTAAGCTCGATTTAGGAGCCTACCTCCAGCCGCAGATGGCAAAGATGTGCCCCGATTTTTACCGCCAAGACTGCGCAAATTACGATTGACAACGTTTGCTCATAGGGAAGGAGGGCCACAAAGTCCAGCAGCACATAGCAGAACGTTTTCATGTATCTTCGGACAGGGTGTGCCCTGCAGTCATGATGGGGGCGCATAGGGTATCAACGGTCATCACTGCACTTCACTGGAAACCTTCATACCTCATCCTTGCGGTCGGCCTGAGTAGTTTTTTGTTCCGACTGTCTCCAGAGGACGATCTCCCTTCCCGACAGCGGCTGTCACACGCAAAACCGTTTCCTTGAATGTTCGGCATATGAACTTGTAGACGCACTGCTCCCCAAATTTGCAACGTTCCAACATCCTCAAGCCCCACTGATATGCTGTAAATTCAAAGCTTGAAGTTATTAAGGCATCCATGACGACCAAGTTGCTGAGCTTCTGTCGGTGCTGGAGGAGAACGAGAGGATCTTTGACGTTGTCTGTGTGGAGGGGTCATTTCACGTAACCATCATTTTCAAGGATACTGTTCACATCATTGCTCCAAAGTCGTTTATATATCCCCTATATAACCCAAACATAACCCCTATATGAGCTCTCTGGATATTGTCCCAAGGAACTTTTGCGATCTGCTTGGCGTGAAAGTGACGGAGGTGCCTTGGAATTCCTCACTCATCGCAAGCAAGAACGTGTTGTAGGGTGTAGAGTGTAGGGTCTAGGGACAGTCGCTAGACGCGCATTCTAAGCCCAGTCCTAATATTTAGGGGTTATATTGGGGTTATATAGGGGTTATATAAGGATTTTATTGGGGATTTTACTATAAAAGCCCTAAACCCTAAACCCTAAACCCTTTAAAATATAATTAGGGGTTATACTCAGGCGGGAGCGCCCCCAACCCAAAACGCTAAGCTGCGGGAAGGCTGCCGGCCACTTGGAGGGTTCGCTCCTGGCCCAAACTACCAGCCTGGACTTTCCAGGCACCTCTACTCTGATTTAGGGTTTAGGATTTTGGGTTTAAGGTTTAGGGATGTTATATTGAGATAATGGAAGAGAAAATGTAAACTACTATAATATGTAGGGGTTATAGGGTAAGGTTTTTTTTGGTTTGTGTTCAGGATTATTCATTCTCCAGTTTGGGTTACAAGCGACAGCTTTCATTTCAACGGCACATACAGGGCTTTGGGTAGAATGGCAGCAGGACTGGCTACAGTGAGGCATGTTCAAGAAAAGGTTTAGGGTTTCGTATCTTCGCTGCGGCTGTTGGGGAGCAGCACTCTGGGCAACGGCACTGGAAGCCCAAGGAGCTTCGTATATGTCCTTTAGCATTTTGCAGAAGGTCTGCCGAGGGAATCAGTTGGTTGTCATGTAAACTCCGCATGATTGATGACGGTATGCTGCCTTGCTACTGATTTCGGCGGGACTTCCATTTATTGGGACAGGTGGTTGTTTGGGAGAGAGTGCGTGACTTGTAATCTTGCGGGTGGATGTGCTGGTAGATTTTTTTCGGGCGCTTGCACGGAGATTCGCCAGCTCTGATTGAGGAGGAATCAACTGTCTGTAAGGGTGCCATCGAGATGCGGTAGGCAGACGCTTGTTTTGTCATGGTTTTCATGAGGGACCATTAGGGTGCCTCCCAACCAACGCAGAAAGCCTGCACACCCTGTAATAGTGGTATCATAGGGATATGAGACGACCCTACAAGTAATATAATCACTATTATCCCTTATGGTCACTATTACAGAGTGGGGGGTCCAATGAAACCATTCGAATAATCCTGAGTTGGGACACGAAAACAACAACGCTGACACGAATGCAGCAAATTTCATGTTCCATTTTTGCTCCATTGTTGGAGTAACGTCGCTAAACCCTGAACCCTCGTAACTCCCATATATTCCTATTTAACGTCTGTATAACCCATTATAACCCTCTATTATCCCTAAACCCGAAACCCTGTAATAAGAATTCTGGCCTCCCTGCACCTCACGCTGTTGTGAAGGCATGGTGGCGCTGATGTCGCAGGCCTGCCTCAAATAATAGCATTATAATTGCTTTCATTTGTATTTTGATGTTTATCTTTATTATTAGTATTATCATCATTCTTACATTCAAACATCGGCCCGAATCCAGCGAGGGCTTCGCAAGATTCCAGATTTGTAGATAGGCTGCTGACAAGTCCTTGGAAGGGTAGCCTTGTATTTCTTTGAGGTGCAACATCCTTCCTCTTCCGTAGTGCTGAGTAATCATAAGAATACCAATAATACAAGTAGTAATAACAAGAAGCTGAACGAAGTTTTCCGTTCAGGTTCAACAAGGCAGCCTTGCGTCAGTCGAAGCTATTGGGGCGCAGTTGACGTCGTCTGCGGCTGAGCTGGCCTCCTGCGCCGAGGCGTCTGGGAAACAGAAGAGAGGGTGACCTGATATGAGCAATCTCAGGGTTTCGTGTCAGTAAAACCCCAATATAACCTCTATAGACGACCCCCCCCATAATCCCTATAGTCCCAGGTAATATCCTCATTGTGTCGCACTCTTGTAGGTGAGAGATGCCGCGAACACCTCGTCACTGGAAGCGGCAGCGGAGCAGCGCAAGAGCGGTCACAGTCAGTGCCGTGCGTCGGAACAGGCGCTGCTCGGCGAGCAGGGGAAGTATCAGCAGCTGAATGCGACCTGGTCGGGTCTTAGCAAGCCATCATGCTCGGCGAGCATGGTGGTGACGGACCCCTGGGACGCAAGAGTGGACTGCTTCGGAGCCATACAGGACTGGCTCCAGACTGGTGCAGATGCCGTGCAGGGAGCGCTGAATGACGGGGTTTTGAGCCTGGGTCTCGAGCACAATCAGACGGCTTTTTGCCATGGAATGCAGCATGCATTCGAGCGGAGCTTCTGCAGTTGGACCGAGGCTCAAAATCTAACATGTGCTGCATATCATGCCTGCTTCCAAGACAGGTCAGAATAACATGCTCGGCTGTCTGTTGCGGCGGGTGCGGTGGAGCGGTCCAGCAAGGCCGACTACACCGCCGCTGCTCATGTTCTCTGCCGGATAGCCGTGCTGAATGCCAGCTCTGCCCAGAAAGAGGAGACTTTGGAAGCTTGCCTCGGGCAGATTGTTGACACCAACCACCTGAACGTGTCTTACCCAGAGCTGGTGACAGAAGATCTCTGCCTTGTTCCAGAAGACTTCCCTTGCAAGGCGGCCTGGCTGGATCGGAACTATGCGGGCGAGTCCTGGTATGGAGTTGTCCGACTCAGAATTTGCAGCCCTTGCACCACGACCACTACAACCATAGCTCTTCCCTCCATTTCGGTAGGACGGCTTCACAGCATCATTCTCGACGGCCAAACGGCATGGCATCTTGGGAGCAACGTGGACGGAGAGAAGGGTGACGGAACGACGTCAACATCCGATGGCCACGTTCCCTTCAACGTGATGGGTGATGTTCGAAGCGTGTCTTGCGGTGCTCGTGCCACCCTGTTCTTGAAAGTGGACGGCACGGCTTGGGGGGTTGGAAACAATCACTACGGTCAACTTGGCACAGGGACCACTGACGATGCAACGACGCCGGTTGAGATTATGGGCAGCGTGCGGAAGGCCACCATGGGAATTTACAACAGTGTCTTCGTGAAGGAGGATGGAAGCGCATGGACTGCAGGCTTCAATGATCAAGGCCAAATTGGAGACGGCTCCAAGATGTACCGGGTCCCGACACCTGTACAGGTAATGACGGATGTTGTGGCCACAGCCAGCGGTTTTGAGCACACAGTCTTCATCAAATCTGATGGGACCGCTTGGTCTGTGGGCCAGAACAACAAGGGCCAGCTGTGTGATGGAACCATGGGTTCTGAGAACAGCAAGACCACTCCCGTACAAGCTCTCATATCCGATGTGCATGGCGTTGCGGCAGGCATTTGGTTCACCGTATTCCTCAAGGAGGATGGAACAGCCTGGGCATGTGGCCAGAACGACTTGGGACAGCTGGGTGATGGGTCGGCAGTTGACAGGGCAACTCCTGTCCAGATCATGGCAGACGTGCGCAGCATCGCTGCCGGCATGGAGTACACGGTGTTCCTCAAAATGGATGGAACCGTTTGGGCCACAGGTTCCAATGACTGTGGTCAGGTGGGGGATGGGACCACGACCCAAAGGACCGTGCACTTTCAGGGTTCCTTTGTTGTTTTCCATGCGTGCTGCGTTTGCAATCGTACACCGCTTGTCATGTTGGCACACGACAGGATTACACCAGTACAGATCATGAGCGGTGTGGAGCGCATTGACGCTGGAGGGAAATCCACGCTCTTTGTGAAGTCCAACGGTGAGATCTGGGCAGTTGGCAGGACGCGTCCTCGCTTGAGAGCAAGTCATAGCAAGTCTGGGAGGAATCGTGTGCAAGTAAGTTGTCAGTGCCTTCAGCCAAAACTGTTCTTCGTCTGGAGGAATGAAAATGGGCAATTGGGGCTGCCTGACAAGAGCTGCTTCCCCACGCCCTTTCAGGCACCTCGGAAGCACAGACCGTGGCTGTACAGCTTGGTTGGAAAATTCACTAATAGACGACGGGTTTGGTTTGGAAGAGGAACTCAAGCTGAAACGAAATGCCGATTTCATGGCATCCTGGCACACCTTGCCCCCAAATCAGGCTCAAACACGGTTTCATTCGGGGCTCTGCGCTTTGTGCCCTTTTTGTTCGGTACCCATACTGTGCGATCTGATGGTTGTTGATGCATGGCTACTGCAGTCGAGGCATCCGCGCTTTAGCAACTTCATTCATCAGTGTTCTGTTGCGCTTTCGGGTGTGGCTGCTTCCAGCATTGCCCGCGGGACTCGGACCCTGCCTTTAATGAGCCCATACATACCTGGCCTACCTTCCTCACACAAACAGCCAGACTGGATTGATCTCGATGACCCTTTTTTGGCAGTATTCGCATTCATCGTGGAATCTCAAGAAGTGACAGAGCGTACTGATTCTGCCAGGTTCCGTGGCCATGAAGGCGAGGTCGTATGGGAGTTTCTCAAAAGCATCCGTACAAGATTCCGTACTGTACAAGATTGTGAGCGGGTACTTCTAGAATCCCCTTAAGTCCAACACATTCTAGGATGGGAAATAGGAGCACCTTTTGAGAAACCCGCATATCTTGGCACCTCCTGGCGCCTCCGGACGAGTCTTTGAGGATCCGCGAGGCGTGGGGCCTTTGTGCTGTGTTGACTGGAGGTAGTCTGGAGGTTCATGCACGGTAGTTGCATGGCTGCATTGGCACATGGGGGTTGTCAAAATTGTGGTCCTCTTTTGTGAACTAGGTACGTCCTTTCATATAGCTGCAAGGTACACGTTGATTACCATGTCACTCCAAAGCATTAATCCTGCTCATAACTGCCTATGGCCTTTAAGCAGGGCTTGCAACAGACAGTTTTCGCGGGATGTCCCGCGATTTGAGGTCTTGTTTGGGGCCCCTGTGGGCGGGTCCTGTGTTGAGAAACAGTCGTTCCAAGTGTAGATTTGCGGTTGCATGGTCACCCAGCAAGTTGCCTTCCTTCATTTCCCTCGCCTGGGTATGTAGTCCCTCTCCCATGGCACCCAGAGCAAAATTCCATGTGGCAGGATTCCTAAACCTTAAATAGTAGTTTCCATTTTCTTTTCCATTATCCCCATATAATCCCTATATAAACCCCAAACCCTAACCAGCAAAATCCCATGTGGCAGGATTTGGCTGAGCGGCTACAGAATTCTGAGCGGCTTGACCTGGCCCATTCCCAGCAAGGAGGTCGTGCCAGACAACCCTGGACCTAGGGTTGAGGGTTGAGGGGTTTA